ACTATGAAAAATCGAGCATGGTACGAAAGGTCAGTTGTTGGACTAAATATTTTTAATAACATGTTTACGCATTGCATACCTGCTTCTATCTTTCTAACACTATCACAGTTGGCATTATTTTGTATTACCTCCCTAGCGTTTAAACGGAATATTTTGAGACGTAGCTCGAAGCTTTTTTTTGCATATGAATTTGTACTACCTGAAAATTTCTGTTGCGTATAGACAGAAAAACACGAGCACAAAGCAGTGAAAAAACTAAATATTAGTAAAACACAGAGTTGTGACAAATTAGACTCAAGCGGAAAGACTGCATCTCGTATGATATACTGGCGTGCAGTGTATTTTCGAAACTTCGCTATATCCATTTAAAAATTAAGTTGCTTACGTGTTCACTTCTTATTTACTTCTGTATTGACTTATTTACTTACTCAGAGCTTCCTCATATAGCACTTATTTATTTATTTACTAATTTACTTTCAACGTTTGCTTATTTACTTATTTATGAACTTCTGTTGCATTCTTGCCTACATACCCAATTAATTACTCTTAACGTTTACGTCTTATTATTATTACACGTAATTATTTACGTACTATGATGCTTGTTTACTTATTTACTTATCTACTTTATTTCCTTATTTACTTATAAAATTACTGATACTTGCACACTTACGCTTGCTTGTTTATTTGCTAATATGCTTCCTAATCTAGTTCTTTACTTTATCACATGTCTACTTACTTACTCTTATTTTTTCTCATTCTTGCGTTCACTGGTTTGCTTGTTGCAACTCATAATTACTGACTTACGTGCTTACTCACCCACAAAGTTTCAGATGTATGTATTGGCACGCGTACTCTTGTGTTCCCACCTTTGCTTGCATTGGTATTTTATTTCCTTTCCCACGTGGCTTGTTTTAATTTATTACATGCTTATGTAACACATTTACACTGATACTCTTAAAGTGGTATACTTACTCATGCGCACACCTATTTATTTATTCTGATGCTTACCTCCCTACTTCTTTGTTTACTTACTTTTTCACTGAGACGCTTGCCTACTTTCTTTCTCTTAGTTTCTTGCCCCGACTTTGGTTGTCTATATAATATCTTCCTTTCTCTTTTACTTAGTTACTATCTTACGTATCTGACATGACATGACATCTTACGTATCTGACATGCATATATACTTACTTTTTTATTTAGTTGCATTTTGCTTTGCTTATTTAATTTCATATCTGCCGACCTAGTCTTTCGTTTATTATTTTCTTACTCTGGCGTTTTCTACTGATTGTGTGACTGTGACTGATTGGTTTCTACTGACTCTGATGTATCTACTAATCACTTCAATCACAAACCTACTTGTTTATGTACTAATGTACTTCCATACGGATATACTTAATTACACATTTGTTGTTAAACTTTTCCGTGTACTTACTCTGAAACTCGTTTATCCACTTACTAACGTTGTAACTTATGCACATAATTATTCACATGTGTCCTTACACATTTGCTGTTACTCCTAAGTCTTCCTCTTTCACTTACTTCATTACTTATGCGCACTGTATAATCCCTGTTAAGTAACAGTTTGTTCACTTGATGCGTGGTTAGGAAACCGAAACGTAAAGCAAAGGTGGAAAATTTAGTAACAGTAGTCGCGTTTCGCTACCAGTACCACAAGATCATCACAACTGAATACCTGACGCCATTTCAAGGAAGTCTTGAATTCTTTCAATGAAATCATGTTAAATATGATTGGATATTTTGTCGTTTGCGTAGATGCCTACTTTTACCGACTTGCCTTGTAACTCAAATAATTATTCTTCCTATTATCTGCTGCTCAAGCTTACTATTTACTCGCTGACTTGAGTGCTTCAAAATTCTGTCCCAAATATCGTATTATAGTGGGAAACTTTCTGAACTCCATGGTTTATTATATCAGACTTAGCGGCAAAGTGATTCTTTAATTTGTAGTAAAAGAAGTACCTTATTCTTGTACTGATATTAGTAGTCAGACGGGGTTCCGTCGAACTGAGTGTCAAAACTGGTAGGAAAGCTCCTAATAAAAGATAAATGTACGATATTCTCAGCAATTTCATTCGTTTGACCAGCAGTGACTTGACGTGATATCTTTCTTCCTGCATTCTGAAGCAGACTTTCCTTTCGGCGAACATCGATCGTTTGATCGAATTTGATTGTTTGCCTCGTTTATTCATGAAAATCCTTCAAAGCGTTAAATTTAGATTTTAGGGTCGACGAAGTAGTTTCAGTTCTTATGGATATCGACGCACGGTGCAGACGAGGAGTGAAGCGCCCTTACGAGGGCAGGTGCGTGTTCCTGGGCAACGGTGTGACTCATCAGTCGCGAAGAGACATCTTTAAAATTTCTCCGCCGGAAAAACCGAAGTATTTTGTTTTGATTTTCGCGGATTTGTATTTGACTGTCTTACTTTTTGACGTTTACGCTAGGATTGCTAAATCTGATTAAATTTTTTTGGTTAAGTTAAGTCGAGCCAATCGAGCAAACTTTGATTTTTGTTGTAAGAAGCCACGTGTATTCATTTATCCATTCGTTCATTCAACTTTGTGCTTATAACAAGGTTGCGTGACAATCTCTTCTTCCATATTGCAACGAAGATCATATCAGATAGTTCATTTTCAACACTGCAATCGTCTGTTGAATGCTGTGCCTTGAATCAAGCTGCAGTCACCTGTACATTTCACTTCCTGCATACCTGGGCGGGAACTTCTCTCGTCCATTGCTCGTTTTTTGCTGACGTCGTGAGAGCGAATCTGAAGAGGGCTGGAGCTGTCATTTAAAACCTAATGCACTTCACATTTTAGCAGTTCAATATACAATGAGACAAAAAACTAGATTTATACTGCATAAAAATGATATAATTTAAAAGGCTAAACCTTGTTCTGATTATTATCTTGTATAATCAGTTATCTTGTGTGTCGTGGCGAACTGCAATCACAGTGTCCAGTCACATCCGACTGCACAGTCGTACGCCTCGCCCATTCTGGCATAGCCAGACCAGAATGCCATGCTGTCCTTATTTTTTGAAAGGGCACCGACTTACTACCAGTTTTTCATCTAGTTGTGTCGAAGCAACGTAGTGTTAATTACTTGCTCAGTGGAATTCGCGGTTAAGATAAAGCCTGTCTCTTGAGCGGATTCGAACTCGACACCACCTGGAGCTCAAAGCCATCCTGTTTCCTTCTGCACCATTATGCGATGACGTCGTTGGAAAAGAGACGTTTATTAAATAAGTTTCCCTTTACTGTCCTATTTATTTCGCATGTTAGCAAGATCGACTTTGCAGATGTCATTGGCCGGGTAGCGTCAACTATGCTATTATACTGTTTGCAACCCAGGCGCTTGGTACCTCGCGTTTGACGGAAAATGATCACGTCTTGTACGATGTTCAAAAGAACCATCCCCTTTCGTTCCGATGCTAGCAGTGACGTAAGCTTCTTTACGTGTCAGTACCGTCGTTCTTCTCGAGGGCACTGAGGAATTCAGGGTGGTAGGATCGTATCATTGTAGGAAGTTCTTAATCGTAACGCTTCAGGCGCTGGCATCCTTTGTTCATGCATTGTGTGGCACATTCTATTGCGTAGGGTGCAGTGACACAGTGGCAACGAGGTGCTGTGTTCGATCCCGGAAAATGGACAGCCTTTGTCTTAGCCGTGAATTCCATTGAGCAACGAATTTGTTTCACGTTGCTGCAGTATAACAAGACGAGAAACGGTAGCAAGCCCTTGACTTGTGAAAAACAAGGACATCGTGCTGTTCTGGCGTGTTGATATCAGAATGAACGAGAGCTACAGTTTGCCTTGACTCACCTGATAGTTGCTTATTCGACGTGATAATCAGCAGAAGGTGCAGCCCCTGTTGTTGTGCTATTACCAATCTTGTTTGCCCAATCGCATGGACTTCATATTTTTTGTTATCGAAGGTGGCTGTCGTCCGCACTTCACTGGGTTAATAACTTTACCTTGCACTTTAGAGGTACCGGGTTCAGACTTCACGAGTAGAGTAAATTTTTCCTTATTAATTGCAAATTCTCTTAAGCAAGGAATTCGTCTCAATTTGCTTCGATTCAACCAGCCTAAGAATTAGCAGTCCTGTGAATAATAGGGGCAAAGTGGTGTTATAGTATGATCATGCCAAAGCTTACGAGACGCACGACAATGCAGCCTGATGCCTCCACCTTACGACTGCAATTCGTCTTGACTTACCGGATGGTTGACTATAAGTCAATACAATGTTACACGTAAATTTAGAAATAAAAAATTTAAATAAAATTTTAGGGATCAAATTTCGCGAAACTTGATTAGCCATGCAAAAGTATTATCAGTTTACTGTGTATTCGCGCTGAAGAAGTATTGTAAAAGTATGTATTAAAGGGTAGTTCCATTGTCTAGATGAAGCAGACATCACAAAATGCGAATGGAATCGCAAAGATTGCCTTATGTATCGCTTCTGTCTTGTATCTTGTTCATCACTTTTTAGAGGCCTTGGCGTTTTCATGGTAGAAAAGGTGTGGAACAACCCGAAACTGTACGGATTAATCGAAGACTGGGGCTTTCCTCAGAATTTGCCTTCGGTTGTTTGCGGACACGTCCTCGATCCTCAGCCCGGCGAAACTGTCTTGGATATGTGCGCTGCCCCCGGTGGCAAAAGTACCCACTTAGCGATTTTAATGAAAGACCAGGTACCTTTCTGAATTCTTAGATAATTCGGAGACGATTTGACTGAATTTGTCATGCTTTGTTTTGATTAACAAGGGTAATTTGAGATTGAATTGTTAAATATTTCAATATGTACTCGGCATTGGTCTCCATATCACGGAGACCAGGAAATGGCCAAAGCGAGGGGTGTTTTTCCTGAGTTAAGTACTGTGGATCATAGTTTTGTTTGACCGCGAAGACCTGTATTTAAATCTGAAAAGATCAACTAAATATTTACAGTGATAGTGATGAATTTTCCGACCTCTTTATTTTTTTAAAACAACCTGTTTACGAAAACGGTACTCTGATTAAGCCAGATTCTGCCAAATTCCCGCGTTAATCCTCGACATGCGCATGGCGATAACTTTCTGTCACGTCGTCTACCTCCCCTCTTCCCAAACGAAGGACGATGACTGATGTACGTGACGGAAAATCTGCACGATGTTTCATGAATGCTCTCCGGAACAAGGGTTAACATCATTTATCTCTGATATTTTTTTCAAATCGTTAAAGTCAAGTAAATGCGAGGCGGCACTGTCACACAATCTTGTTTATCATGTCACCGTCTTTCTGAAAGCAAAACGGTGGTTGTCGTTTGTCACACTTACGCATAGCCAAAACACACTGGCCTAAAAAATTATGTCGGTCTTCAGAAAACGATCGATTTTGTTCCTGCCGGCACCGAACAAATTCCTTGGTGTCCATAGCGAGAGAATCAAGGCAATGATTGTAATTGCTGTTATGTTGAAAAAGCATAAAACACTGTATGCATAACTCAAACAGTGTGCTGAGTCGGATATTTGACCACTACCTGTGTTTCGGCCCGCCTCTTGCGGGCCTTCAAGTTTGACAGCTGGGTTGGCATCGATAGTTATTTCTTGGTCACAGCTGTTTTTTGTTTGGAGCTATAAACGCGAGCTCTTGGTCTGAGCTGAGGGTTAGATAGTTTTCTGGGACAGAGGCGGTGAGGCTCATCCAATTCGAGCG